TTTCCCTATTCAAATGAATGGGAAAATTCTACTTCAGCATACTTTCAGCTATCAAAATGTTCAGCTCTTCAAGGACATTCATGCTTCTCTTCAGAAATTTTCTAAACTTCATACTTTTGAAATATTTAGCCTTATTTTGAAAATCTTGCCTCATTTACATAAATGGGGAAATTCCATTTTCAGCATACTTTCAGCTAGCAAAAGTATTCAAGTGTCAAAATGTTCAGTATTTTCAGGGCGATTTTTCAGCACTCAGCATCCATACGCATTTTCTTCAGATAATGCAAAATTCTAGTTTGCTATTTATATTTCTATGTTCATGCAACATTCCCCATATGTATACACCTTAATATATATAAATGAAATATTGTGTGGTTTTGTGCCTACAAGTTATACACACTTTCAGGAAGTAAACACGGACAAGTCTTTTAAAGGTTTTATCAGAAAAATTTCACATTGATAATATTAATACACAAACACTTGAACCATGTTAAAAAAATTTATAAAATACAGGCAACAGCAACTGTGCTTCTGCAGGATAAAGAAAAAAACAAAAAACAAAAGCCAAAAACTGTGGTTCTAAAAGATAAATAAAGAAAGCAAGCCAGCACAACTGTCACCATCCATGTTTTCATGGATGCTTAAACTCAGACCATGGGAGGGTATTTGGTGGCCTAACGTTAGGTCCTAGATTGTTTTCAGGTCTCGTCTCCAGCCTGCAAAGAGACAAGACAATGTTAGACAACAAAGGAAATCTGCACAAGTATGTGCTAAGAGCTGAGGCAGAGAGATGGAGCAGACTGCTTACTTCGGGGTTAACAGGGTGTTTCTTCCCCACACAAATGGAGCAGCATTTACATCAGCCTCTGTAAAACAACCTCTAGAGTCCCTGCGTCCTCATATGAGGACCGCACAGCTTGGGTTTCCAAAGCTCAGGACTCTAGAGGTTAACAAAGACTGGAAATGGGGAAATGCCAAGACTGGCTCTGAAGGTAACAAAATCCACCTAGAAACACATTTTAATGCTTCTTAATCACACGACACATGTAGGTTGTTTAATCAGTACAAAGAAGCGACAAACAAATAATTACGACTATTAATGATACCTTGGTCCCAATCCTCCGTCATGTTCGGCATTACCCAGGTGCTAACGGGGACCTGCTGCTGACGAGGCACACTTCCCTCTGTAAACAGGATAACCGAACTCAAATAAAGCATAAACATGCATCAACTCAGAATGTGCAGGGTAAACAGAAACAAGTGATAATCTCACCATCGTCCTTGTCCACAGATACTCTGTCCTCACAGGCCGCAACGTGGTTTTTCAACTCATGCTTGGGGACTAGGTGGCAAGCATTGTAAGGGCAGGTTTTTAGCTCGATGGCCAGTTTCGGGTGATTCTACATCAAAGAGAGAGAAATTAAACTTCAGGTCAGCCATGATAGGAGTGCTGATTCAATTCACAGGATTTCTGAAAATCAGTACCAGATTGCCCCTTTGTATGTTCCAAGATCCCTGTCTGATAGCCTGCACTGAAACCTCAAGTAGTGAGCACTTAGCGCCAGGTCTGCTGTCTAGTGACGTCTTTGAGTGGGAACTGCTCTGTGGCTGCATCAGCAAATGTGAAGCCAAAATATGTTCAATATGGAGGCAGCCATGCTGCCTTTGTGACACACGTTGCAACCAGATTCTGCACAGCAGCAATGACAAGTGGGGTGACAGCATCTGACTGCCGATCAAAGCTGTCAAACCATCAGAAATACACCCCTTTTTATATACAGTAACACTTGTACACAAACTAGTGTGATAATATCTATCGAAAATAATAAAAGCCACTTTTGGAAAAAGGAATTATTTGATTTGTACTTTTGAGTATTTAATTTGCCTCCTGTCCCACATGCTAACATGCAGATGGCATGTTTATGATCTGCGAGGCAACCACCCTCCAAGGAGCAATTAGATAATGGTAGCTTCACTTCTGAAGAGCTGTCACGCCGCTGTCATGCAGCTTTAATTGAATGTAGATTTACATTCTTAAGATGCTTGACTCACCTTCCTACACTTTATAAGGTGGTAAGGGAGGCGGCAGGCCCGAATTTGATGGCTCTTGTCAAAAGGGCACTGCGACAGCTTGTCCGGGTCCCATCTTACTTTTTGATCTTTAAAAATCATAACAAACAATAAATTTAAACCACTAATATAAACTAAAACAAGTGTTAAGCTGGTTTGAAAATTGTGGAAGAATATCTAGCATTACCAGCATCCTCTTCCAGCTGTTCTCTTCCCATTTTCTCTGCAGCAATCCTGCATGGACTGCTAGTGGTTCCAAAGGTGATTCTGTTTGCCATTGTTTCCTGATATTAACCCAATCGGGAAAGTCAGAGTTAAGATACAGTTTAGCCAGGAATGCTAACAAATATTTAGACAAAAGATAGCAACACAAACTGCCAAGGTACCGATGCAGCATAATCAATCAGATTATCAATTTGTGAATGACTGTCCAACTCTGCAGGCAAATCATTCATGAAAAAGGTCGTGTTCACATCATTGTGCAAAAGCAGCTTTTGTACAGGCCTCTTCATTTTTATGCGCTTGGTGTGCA